GTGAAACTTCTAACAATATGATAAAACTAAATATTTAAAAACGACGATTTTTTTCAATATATTTTTTGTACGGATTAATGAAACAATTCAGCTAACTCACCAATATTTTTTTTCAATATTCCTTTCATTATAATGTAATAAAATATTAGTAATATAATAATTCTTAAAATAATTATTATTATAAATACTAGTAAAAATACATNTTAAATAAAAAATTATTTATTAATTACAATAATAATGTCAAAAAAGTAAAAAGAAATTATAGTAGACAAATAAATAGAGGTAAAATAGTCATTTATACACAATACCCATTATCCAGTAAATACATTATTAAACTCTTTTCTCAAATAATAAATTTACTCTAACAAGCAGACAATAAGGCAAATTTGAGAGAATTTGAAGATAAATTTTTTTGTTGTTGGAGGTAAATGAGGGTAGATTTGGAATTAAATTATTTTAATCTGTCACGTTAATCAAATCCTGCACTAATTCTCAGAAACTTTACTTCCAAATTCATTATCAATTACTTCCAAATTCACTCAAATAAACAACAAAAAATTTTATCTTCAAATCCTCTCCCTCAATTACTCTCCTCCAAATCCTTTCAAGTGAACAAAGCCTAAGAGTGAGGTGAAAAAAACTAAAAGTCAGAAATAGGCAATTGCAATCATATTTAATAGTGGTCTCCGCCATATTTACATTTTGAATGATAAGTTGCTTTCTACATGAAAATGAAAATGAAAATGATGTGTGGATCTAATATTCTATTCAATAATATTTTAATCGTTTTAAATAGTTTAAATAATTTATTATATTAAATTATCTGTTCATGTTCAACTATGATATAGTATGTTTTATTTGTAAGTAAGAATTATTTGGATAAATAATAACATTCCAAAAATAACTTTCATTATTAAGTAAATATTTATTAAATGGTAATAGAAATTGTTTCGTTAACAATTAAAATATGATATTTATATTGTCTATACCTAGAAGAAGAAAAGTAAAGCAAATAAATATGATATTATTATTATTATATACTATTAATTACTATTTTGGTTTTCAAATTGTAATATTAGAAGCAAAGTAATATTACATAAAAAAATGAAATTTGGAGTTTTCTATGTTAAGAAGTGGATTTTTAAAGTGGGGTTTGCATATTACATGTGGAACCTGATTTGGATACCATGTTTTGATACCATATATGAAGGTGAATTTTTAAGTTTAACTCAACTCTGCAAAATTATAAGATAAAGTTTGCATCTAGCTTATATATTATAATTTGGTCTTATTTTTAGACAATGTGAAACTTCTAACAATATGATAAAACTGAATATTTAAAAATGACGATTTTTTTCTTTTATATTTTTTGTACGGATTAATGAAACAATTCAATTAACTCACCAATATTTTTTTTTCAATATTCCTTTCATTATAATGTAATAAAATATTAGTAATATAATAATTCTTAAAATAATTATTATTATAAATACTAGTAAAAATACATGTATTTATTTTTTTATGATAATAAAGAAGTAACAAATTTAATTATAAAAGTAAATCTAAACGATTTTTGTAATTTTTGTAGATATTTTTTTAATTATAAATAGTTATTTTAGTTTAAAAATTGGTTAAATTTAGAAAATGGTAAAAAATATGAAATTAAAAATTGTCAATTAAAGGTAAAACCATCTAAGTATAGTTACTTATTAAAAGATATAATTAAAAAATAAATATCTATAGAAAATGATGAATCTCCTCTGTATAATTGTATACAGGCATAGATAATAATAAAGGTAAACAATAACTAAATATTTACAAATATAATTAATTATATATTTTAAAATAATTATATATAAATATTTTATTATATTTATGAATTTTTAATATAATGAATTATAATATATCTTTTCTCAAATGGTCATATAATTATATTATAAATTCTCTTCGTTTCTCCTAATCTTAATTACTTTAATATATTAATACTAAAATATATTATAATATATTAAGAATTCATCAAAAAATACAATAATTTCATAATTTAATATATTAATAATATTTTAATGAATTTGATTTTACATTTTAACATAAAGTAATATATATGTTAAAATTTTAGTAAACAAATTATATTTTATTATAAAGTAAAATAGGTTATAAAATATATTTTGGATATTGTAAAATAAATACTGTCCATAAAAGCTATTTTTAATCTCAAATTTTTTAAATACACCCATTTAAAAAGCAACTTATAAAGAGTTGTATAAAAATTTTATTTTTAATCTCAAAATTTGTAAATACAAGCTTTTAAAAATTATATTTATTAAAATTAATATATTTTTTATTCTCAAATTATTTTAAAAATTAAATTTTCAGCTTAGTTAAACTATTTTACCCGTTTTTATTTTATAAAAATTATATAAAATATCTTGGTTTATTTTATGCAAGCAAAAAATAATAGAAGTAATAGACTTATAATTAAACATCTTGGTTTATTTAATGCAAGCGAAAAAGTCAAGTTTTCTTTACTAGATTATAAGTTTTTTGGTCCTTTGAGCTTCCAAATTCCAAATGCATGGCTCCACTCCACTCCTAAAGTGAATTGTGGATAATGGGAGCAAGTTATAGATATTAGGTACCCAACAAGTACGAAGCAGCTATCTGCATAGGTACAAAGGCAGGTATGGATATTTTTTTCAAACATGGGGGTAGAGACGAGTATACTGCTCTTGACGTTAATCACTTAAATATTCATAAGACATGAATGGTCAATACCTCATACAATGAAGTAAGTTCAGAATGCAAGAATCAATCTAACTCGAAATACATATATTATATGAACCTAGTACACAGGAAATAGAGAACTGCAACCTGGGTTGGAGAAAAAATAGGCAAAAACACCTTAAGCTTCATAAGCATTGGACATACAAATGGAAGGGTTTTCCAGAACCAGTTGGTGCACGCAAAATATTCACGACCCTATCACAAATAATAGAAGAAATACAGCAGTTTAAAACAATATACAGTTAATCAACAATAGTTATTAATTGTATAAGCGTATGTGATGAAGATAGAGAGAGGTACCTGGAATCTGGCGATATCGGCGCCAAACTTCTTTCTGAATGCCAGAAAACAAAAACGAAGAGTCATTAACATTGGAGATGGAACAAACAAATGATTTAGGACTTTAAAACAGACTACAGCTCGAGTCCCAAACTCTAGATGGAAAACCCCAAACTGCAATGAAACCCTTATTCTAATTGTGCAATCAAACTCTTATTCCAATCGAAAGGGAGAAACAGAAAGTTTCGTGAATTCGGGTAGATATTATCTTAGAACACCTTTCGTCCACGGTTCTGTAGGAGACGACGGTGGCTACGACGAAGTGGAGGCGACACGTTGAAGGCGTGGAGAGCGTGGAGGCTTCCGACGAGAGTGTGCGCCAAAATAAGGCCTGAAAGTTTAGGACGATAATGAACTTTCGAAATTAAAAGAAGAGAGAGTTTGACCGTTGTTTTAATATCTATCTTAATATTTAATATGTTCTTATCTCATAATTGCTATTTTGTTCTCGCGCCTAATTTATTATTATAGGTGTCTTTTACTTGTTCTTAATATATATAATTTTTATTATAAAAATGTCACCATTTATTATGATAGATTTCTTAAAATATATCATGATATATTTTATACTTTGTTTATTTTAATGAATTTGGAAGATAGTAATTGAATAAATTTAAGAGAATTTGAAGATAAATTTTTGTTATTTATTTTAGTAGATTTGAAAGTAAGTGAGAGTGGATTTGAAAGTAAATTTTTTTAATATATTAATCATACACTAATCCACTCTTAAAGTTTACTTTCAAATTCATTCTCACTTACCTTCAAATCCATTCAAATAAACAACAAAATAAAAATCCTCTTAAATTCATTCAATTACTGTCCTCCAAATTCATTTAAATAAACAAAACTTTAGTTTTATTACAAAATTATCGTCTATCAATGTATTATGAAAATGATTTGACCTATTATAATAAATTATTATTGAATCTCTTCCTTCCACTAGTATATTTATGAACTTTTAATATGATAAATTATAATATATCTTTTCTCATATGGTCATATAATTATATAATAAATTCTCTTCGTTTTCCCTAATCTTAATTATTTTAATATATTAATACTAAAATATATTAATATATTATAGAATTCATAAAAAAAATACAATAATTTCATAATTTAATATATTCATAATATTTTAATGACTTTTTCTTTTTACATTTTAATATAAAGTAATATATATGTTAAAATTTTAGTAAACAAATTATATCTTATTATAAAGTAAAATAGGTTATAAAATATATTTTGGATATTGTAAAATAAATACCGTCCATGAAAACTATTTTTAATCTCAAAATTTTTAAATACAACCATTTAAAAAGCAACTTATAAAGAATTGTATAAAAAAATTATTTTTAACCTCAAAATTTGTAAATACAAACTTTTAGTAATTATATTTATTAAAATTAATATATTTTTCATTCTCAAATTATTTTAAAAAGTAAATTTCCAGCTTAGTTAAATTATGTTACTTTACTCATTTGTATTTTATAAAAATTATATAAAATATTTTTTCGTAACAAAATTCACATTTATCTATTGATAAGGTATTTCATATTCCTATAATAAAGTATAAGGTTCAAATAATATATAATTTGATTTAAAAATTAAATATAGTTTTTAAAAAAAATTAAAAATTAAAAATATTTAATCTATTAAATAATTATTAGAAAAATATTAATAAAAATGATCTTTTAATTATTTTAATAATATAATAATATATATTAATATTTTAAGTTAAAAGTAAGAAAAAATCTGATTAAAATATTAATATTCTAAGCGGTTTGTCCTTTATGATGTCAGTCGGTGTATCAGACCAGACGATCAATTAAATATGGAGCACCTGATGAAGATAATCTGAGTAGTTTCAGACACAAAAAGCTTTCAAAACAACAAAACAATCTTAAAATTATGGAAGCCGTGGAAGTCATCACCACCACCACAATCAAGGCACCTACTCATAGTATCCATAACTCACCTCGTAAAATCCATTTAACTCCATTTGATCTTCCATTTCTCACCGTTGAATCCATCCAAAAAGGTCTTCTTTTTGGCAGCCCAAAAGACACAGCATTCCAAATAAATAATCTTCAACGTTCACTTTCCTCCACCCTTGCCTTCTTTCCTCCCATCACTGGTCGTCTCGTCATACTCCAACATCACGACAACATTGTCTCAACCCACATCCTTTGCAACAACGCCGGAGTCCTCTTTGTCCACGCCGTTGCACCCAACACCACTGTCGCTCACATCCTTCAACCCAAATACAACCCTCCCATCATTCGCTCCTTCTTTCCACTCAACGGCGTTAAAAACTACAAGGGCACTTCACAGCCATTGCTGGCAGTGCAGGTGACGGAGCTAGTTGACGGCATCTTCATCGCCCTAACAATCAACCATGTCGTTGCTGACGGCAACTCGCTGTGGCATTTCGTGAATTCCTGGGCTGAAATCTCACGTGGCTCCCTTAAAATATCCAAACTCCCTTCTCTCCACCGTTACTTTCCCGATGGCATTGAACACCCCATGCGCTTTCCCTTCACAGAGGAGGAAGAAATCCGACACTCCCCAAACCTCAAACAACAAATTCCTCCTGAGAGGGTCTTCCATTTCGGGAAGGAAAAAATCGCGGAACTGAAAAGAAAAGCCAACGCAGAAGCCAACACAGACAAAATATCTTCTCTGCAAGCGCTTTTAACTCTACTTTGGCTCTGTGTGATTCGTTGCCGACACGTAGAGCCTGAAGAAGAGATAAGTTACGTGCTTGCGATTGGCGTTGGGCCCAGGATGGTTCCACCATTGGCAGAGGGTTATTTTGGAAACTCAGTGATGTTTGGTGTTGTGACCATGAAAGCCGGGGAACTATTGGAGGGTGGTCTTGGGAAGGGTGCTCTGGACATGAACAAGATGATTGCTTTGCACTCTCATGAGAGGTTAAAGAACCACTATGAGTCTTGGGTGAGAACTCCGAGGCTGCTTAAATTGTTTGGTGGTTCACTGGCCACTAGCAGTTCTCCGAGGTTCGACTTTTACGGTAACGATTTTGGGTGGGGAAAGCCCGTGGCGGTAAGAAGTGGTGGTGCAAATAAGGGTTGCGGAAAGATTAGTGTGTATGCAGGCGCTGAAGAAGGTTCTATCGACATTGAAGTGTGCCTTCCTTTTGAGATTTTGGAGGCAATGGAAAATGACCCCGACTTCATGGATGCCGTTTTCAGCTAGCTATTCTAGCTACAACACAAGATCTTACAAGTCCAATTTCTGTCAGATCCATGATTGTTAGTAGCATAAGCAATCCAGAAAAGATCTTTGAGGAGTTGGTTAATTAGAAATTATTTTGAATCGATAACTTGTTCTTATAAGAAGTTTTATCTCTCCTAGTAGTTTAAGCTTTTCTTTTCTTAAACGAATGGTTAAAAGGAGATATTGTCGATGTAGGGTGGGATATATGAAGATTTATCTGGATTGTTTGGATTACTCCAAATGTTTTTCCAATAGAAAATTAATTTTTATTGAAATGATAGGTATAATTCTAACTCTAATTTTAGAATTATCATTCAAATATTTAAATCCCTGCCTTCAACTCATCCTCAATTGGTTTTATATATTATTTTCAACATCTATAAATATTATTCATTATTTTGATTTGAATATATAACATGATATTTATTTAATTTATTTTTAACAATAGTAAAAAAATAAAATTTAATTATCCGTGCGTCCACAGGTACAAAGACTAGTTAATAACATTTATGATAATTTTGATGCTGTTTTGGAAAGCATAGATTGTATGAAAGGTAATAATATGTTAATCATGAGATGAAGTATGAAGTTGTGTTGTACATTATGTTCTTTGAATAAGAATGAGTGTGTTTTGTTGATATGATTAGATTAAATTATGATATTTTAACAATTTTTTGATAATATATTATTATTATATTGTTTCATATATTTGAAACGAATTAATTATAAACTACTATGTGAGTGATTTTTGATTAGATATACATATATTTTGATGGTTTTTAACAATAGATTATTTATCCGTATATTTGAAATTGACAACAAACTATCACATAGGCCGTTTGAAATGTCGGGTTTTTACTGTTTTTGTGTTGAATATTGTTTGAGTGACATGTGGTTAGTAGCCTCGGTTTGGACATTTTAGGCTTTGTTGCTTCCGAAAATGAATTTAAAAGATGGATATAAATTGTACAAAAATCTTATTTCTCGTTAAGTTTGAGAATCTCTCATCTAAGTAGTGAGTGCAGTGTGAATGAATTCTACAATTTATTTTTATTATCATACTTCTATGCATGTTTTATATTTTTAATCACGGGTTGATTTTAAGCCCACACATTGCAAGCCGGTGACAATGAGGAAGGAGTGAGAGACGCAGTTTGTGAATGAATTAATAAATAATAAATTTTAGTTAGTTAATAAACTCTAATACAATTAAACATTAAATACTTTACAGAAAAGAATACTTATCTCTCGCAAGATTATATTAAATAACATTACATTTTATTTACATTTAATATCTTAATGAAATGATACTCATTTCCTTTTTAAGTGACAATGCTTTTTAAGGTGAACTGCAGAAGCTAAAAGCAAAATGTGTATAATAGTAACATTTGAAGGTGACTTATATATGGACTAGTGGAAAATCTAAAGTAGCCAATTGCAACCACATTCAATAGTGGTCCATTCCATAATGAGTCGGTATGATTTACTTCGCCATATTTATTAAGAAGGACCACAAAAATTTAATACTCTTTTCGTCACCACACATTTTGAATGATAAGTTGCTTTCTGTACCAAAATAATATGTGTAGATCTCAAAGTCTGCAATCGTACTATGTTTAAATAATTTACATTAATTTATTTTAATTGATAAAACTCTTAAACTTATTTTAAACCATTTATTATTTTACATTTTTTATTTAACTTAAATTATGATAGATAGTAAATTTTATTTAGATAGTCTGCAAGAAAAGTGCATTGGTTTTACAAAAATTTAGCTCTTTCTAATTAATTATTAAAATGTTAATTCTTGGAACTTTTTCAAATAATCAAAGAAACATAAAATTGATGAAAGAAGAAGAAGAAATGTACATACGAATTTTATATTGATTTGAGTCAACCTGAATTTATGTTTAATTTTTTTTCAAATAATTTGAGCTTAAAATATTTTTACAATAATTAAAGAGTTAACAAAATTATAATTACAACTTAATAATTCTAGACTCTAAGATATCAAGAACATGATACACTTATCAAGAATCAAATTCTAGATACAATTTTTCATACAATTGCATCAAGATTATCACCTACAAGGAATAGAATTTAAAGAATGAAAAAATATAGAAAATAAATGAAATAAATATACCTAGAATATACGTTATACATCAGTCCTATGTCCTATGTCAAGCAAAAATCTTCATAATCAAATTCATCTTAATAGCTTCTTGATGAATTTGATAAAAAGCCAACTATTTTTCAAGAACTCAAGAATTTATCTTTTTTATAGAATTAACTCTTAGATATAAAAATTTTGTATTTTTAGAATGAGAAAAAAAACTTATTTTTAAAGGAACAACAACTTACTAATGTTATTAATTTATTATAGAAATAATATAATTGAGATTTGAATTATGTAATTTGATTATGTTTTAATAAGTTATATAAATATGTTATCGAATATAGTTCAGATAATAATTATGTATTTTTTTAAAATATATTCTTAGATTCTTTTCACGCCAAAAATGCTACTAATTGATTATAATGTAATTAATTTGAATATTCTAAAAGGATTCATGCTTAACTTATTACCTATTCTAAAAGGAAGAACGCATCTTGGCATCCACTAAATAAATATTTTCTTCAAAACATAAAGTATAATCATAGATCTTTCCCATTCAATTATGTTATGATTTTGTGCGCAAGTATACTTAATGTGAATATATGATATGAATTAAATATATTTTTAACTTTTTAAAATAAAAATTGAAATTAGTCATTTTTTAAAATTTTAAATTAATTTAAATTTTATATTTAGAATTGTGTAAATTTAATTTTTTAATTAAATTTTGTTAAATTTATTTATAAATAATTAATATTGAAGTGAAATAAAATATTAAATTGAATCAAAATTAAAAAAACGATTTTCTAATTTTATTAAAAATTAAGTAACCAAAAATATATTTAATCTAATGTGATATTTCTCTTTACCATAGGTTTATAAATGCTATTTTCACACTTTGAAATTTGTAAATTTACAAAAAAATTGTGAATTATTTATTATTTAATAAAATCCCTTCATTATTTTATATAATAAATAATAAAAATGCATTATATTGTAATAAAATTTTCAAATATAATTCTATTAAAACTATTTTGTCATTATAGTTGTGAACATCACACGTAGGATGGTAACGGGTCGGGTCGGGCACGGATAGTGTCTACCCACAACCCGACTCGACAAAANGGGGGTAGAGACGAGTATACTGCTCTTGACGTTAATCACTTAAATATTCATAAGACATGAATGGTCAATACCTCATACAATGAAGTAAGTTCAGAATGCAAGAATCAATCTAACTCGAAATACATATATTATATGAACCTAGTACACAGGAAATAGAGAACTGCAACCTGGGTTGGAGAAAAAATAGGCAAAAACACCTTAAGCTTCATAAGCATTGGACATACAAATGGAAGGGTTTTCCAGAACCAGTTGGTGCACGCAAAATATTCACGACCCTATCACAAATAATAGAAGAAATACAGCAGTTTAAAACAATATACAGTTAATCAACAATAGTTATTAATTGTATAAGCGTATGTGATGAAGATAGAGAGAGGTACCTGGAATCTGGCGATATCGGCGCCAAACTTCTTTCTGAATGCCAGAAAACAAAAACGAAGAGTCATTAACATTGGAGATGGAACAAACAAATGATTTAGGACTTTAAAACAGACTACAGCTCGAGTCCCAAACTCTAGATGGAAAACCCCAAACTGCAATGAAACCCTTATTCTAATTGTGCAATCAAACTCTTATTCCAATCGAAAGGGAGAAACAGAAAGTTTCGTGAATTCGGGTAGATATTATCTTAGAACACCTTTCGTCCACGGTTCTGTAGGAGACGACGGTGGCTACGACGAAGTGGAGGCGACACGTTGAAGGCGTGGAGAGCGTGGAGGCTTCCGACGAGAGTGTGCGCCAAAATAAGGCCTGAAAGTTTAGGACGATAATGAACTTTCGAAATTAAAAGAAGAGAGAGTTTGACCGTTGTTTTAATATCTATCTTAATATTTAATATGTTCTTATCTCATAATTGCTATTTTGTTCTCGCGCCTAATTTATTATTATAGGTGTCTTTTACTTGTTCTTAATATATATAATTTTTATTATAAAAATGTCACCATTTATTATGATAGATTTCTTAAAATATATCATGATATATTTTATACTTTGTTTATTTTAATGAATTTGGAAGATAGTAATTGAATAAATTTAAGAGAATTTGAAGATAAATTTTTGTTATTTATTTTAGTAGATTTGAAAGTAAGTGAGAGTGGATTTGAAAGTAAATTTTTTTAATATATTAATCATACACTAATCCACTCTTAAAGTTTACTTTCAAATTCATTCTCACTTACCTTCAAATCCATTCAAATAAACAACAAAATAAAAATCCTCTTAAATTCATTCAATTACTGTCCTCCAAATTCATTTAAATAAACAAAACTTTAGTTTTATTACAAAATTATCGTCTATCAATGTATTATGAAAATGATTTGACCTATTATAATAAATTATTATTGAATCTCTTCCTTCCACTAGTATATTTATGAACTTTTAATATGATAAATTATAATATATCTTTTCTCATATGGTCATATAATTATATAATAAATTCTCTTCGTTTTCCCTAATCTTAATTATTTTAATATATTAATACTAAAATATATTAATATATTATAGAATTCATAAAAAAAATACAATAATTTCATAATTTAATATATTCATAATATTTTAATGACTTTTTCTTTTTACATTTTAATATAAAGTAATATATATGTTAAAATTTTAGTAAACAAATTATATCTTATTATAAAGTAAAATAGGTTATAAAATATATTTTGGATATTGTAAAATAAATACCGTCCATGAAAACTATTTTTAATCTCAAAATTTTTAAATACAACCATTTAAAAAGCAACTTATAAAGAATTGTATAAAAAAATTATTTTTAACCTCAAAATTTGTAAATACAAACTTTTAGTAATTATATTTATTAAAATTAATATATTTTTCATTCTCAAATTATTTTAAAAAGTAAATTTCCAGCTTAGTTAAATTATGTTACTTTACTCATTTGTATTTTATAAAAATTATATAAAATATTTTTTCGTAACAAAATTCACATTTATCTATTGATAAGGTATTTCATATTCCTATAATAAAGTATAAGGTTCAAATAATATATAATTTGATTNAACG